ATTCAGAGAGAACTCTCCTCTTCACAAGCTGTGACCATTGCACCTTGGTTTTTCTCTGTGCACCCCATCTTCTTATAAGCTCCCTTTTATATCTAAATATATTTATATGTTTGGTTGTATGCATCTCTTAATATATTGAATTATATGTTGATGGTATATTCTGTTTTAAACATATGGTTTAGTTTTTATTTCTAATTTGCACTTCCTCTGTTTCTTTAACACCTATAAATCAGATGATAAAGAACATATTTAAGATATTTTTTAAAAAAGACATCCTTAAGATCAAAGATGTCTCTTTTAAAGGATGTCTCTTTCAGACATCTGTTTTAAGGATATCTCTTCAAGACATCTACCCTGTTTTCCCACTGTTTCTGTTGAATAGATATATGGAGGAAATTCTTCATTGTGAGAGTAGTGAGACACTGGCACAGGTTGCCCAGAGAAGCTGTGGCTGCCCCATCCCTGGCAGTATTCAAGGCCAGGTTGGACAGGGCTTTGAGAAACCTGGTCTAGTGGAAGGTGTCCCTGCCTGTGGCAGGGAGGGGGTTGGAACTGGATGATCTTTAACAACCCTTCCAGCCCAAACCATTCTATGATTCATTTTATGAACATCTTTTCTGAATAACCTTCTAATTTAGAAACTGTCTTTGGAGGTGTCTTCCAAGTACAATTTAGAGACCTTTACTGGTTAATGTTAATAAAGGCTAAGTGTTAAATATTGTGAGGCTAAGCACATGCTTTCTTCAGCATATCTATACAGCAATAAAGTGCTTGCAATATTTATTGGATTATACAAGAAGCATCTCTGCCAGATGATAATAAAGAAGTGAGTTTAAAAAGAATTTTGGACAGTTAAGAATCCCCAGATAAAATCCCACAATTTGTTTAGTTAATCTACAGTGAGTTTCAGAAGTGAAATTGCATCCATTAATATATGGATATTTCATAATCTTTCATAATCTGCAGAATATTATACTTTTCCACTGTCACATCATTGATTACCCCTTGTCTTATATATCTAACAAACAAAGTTCAGGAAAGAAAATATTAAAAGGCAACACATGAGCATTCTCTCTAAAACATTGTGACCTCCTTTAGCTCAGCTCAGAAGAAAGCCTGGATCCATAGATAATCCTACAGCAAAGGATCAGTAGATAGTGACACCAATAGGAAACGGGTGCATGATCTCATTGTGCTCAGGATACCAGCCCTTCACATGTTGTTGTGACAAATACCTGAGCCCAGAAATGAAGGTTTCCAGTGAAAGGGCAAGAAAAGAGCTTACATCCCGTTTTGTCAGAAGAACTGCACAGTTATACCCAAGGACATATTTTCAGAAGTTGAGAGCCGCGAAATACAGCTTTTAATTTTAAAAAGTGCATAAACCACATTAGAATCCTGCTTTGTCTGGGCTCTATACCCTGCTAATCGCCATGGGAGCTGAATGCCAGCTTTTGCTTCATTGCAAGTTTTGGAAAGGTGTATCATACCTTTCTTCTGGAACAAAAATTTGACTCATATCTGTCCTTATAGTAAGTTAGAGCTAAGCCATAAGCAGAAAAAAGTGCAAATTTAAGGTCACCATTCTTCAGAGTAAAATTAAATTAGAAAATAGGGCCGAGAAACTGTGATGTCTGCCATTTCAACAACACCCCAAGGGCTGAGAAGCCCTGGCTGGAGCCAAAAGCATGAACCACAATGTGTGAGTAGCCGTAGTCTTTAACCATGCCTATCTTCTGCTGATCAGCAGAAAAACCTATAAATCATGCGCCTTACAGACTGAAAGACTTAAATAAGAATTAAAGAACTCAGTCATGCACTGGCAGAATGAAACGTATGGTAATCTAGATGTTGTCTACCTTTAATTTCTACTTTTGTTTAGAAGCTTTTTTTTCCTCCACTGAGCCATTTAAAACAGGAGAGTAAGTGAGGACATGCCAAATGCAGATATTTCACTTTGCTTTCCCTGAACTTAACACTGAAGTTTTTATCATCGCTTTAATGGGTATTTTCAGCTCACTTGGACCTCAGTGATGATTTTCATTATTTAATGTCAGCTTCTTTCCCTGGGGAAAATTCAAGGTTTGGGGTTTAAGCCAGCATGACAATTAACAAATGGAATATTACATATCACATGCCCCAGTCTAAAAAAAGCTACTGATCATCTGCAGTGCCTTCATGACACTCCCAAACCTTCCTTCACCCCAGTCCTGGTTTGGCCCACAGCTGGCAGTTGAATATTTTCTGACTGATAGCTGGCTTGGTAAATACAACTAATAATAACACTGGGCCTGAGTCCACTCCTCACTGTTTAGTCCTTCTGGGGAACAGCCTCTTGCACAGTAACCAATTGTTCCAGTATCAAAATCCACATTTTATCTGCTTAGTGTGAGGGATGCAGAGGGATGTGGCTGGGAAAGCTTCAGGAAAGGGGTTTTTAAAAGTGAATTAATCTTATGCTATTGCTGTGTCCTCACCAAAGGGTCACCTTCAAAACTTAAGATGCTTTTTCAATATTAGGAAAAGATAAGATGCTGTATCTTATTCCATATATACATATATATATATATATATATATATATGTGGAATAGAAACTAAGGGCTAAATCATAGAATCATAGAATGGTTTGGGTTATAAAGGACCTTAAGATCATCTAGTTCCAATCCCCCTGCCATGGCAGAAATGCCTCACCCTAGACCATGTCACCCAAGGCTCTGTCCAGCCTGGCTTTGAGCACTGTCAGGAATGGAGCATTCACAACTACTTAAGGATCAGTCAAGTGGAACATTTTTGAATGTCTGCAACTAAATCTCACCTGAGTCAATACACCTAAATCCAAAATGGAAATAACAATAATTTAAACCCCCCCTTTTTTAGCTTGCTTCTCATCTAGAGGCTTTGAACTCAGTGGCACCATTTAGCCTGATTTCAAAGATCCTGGAGGAACAAAGCTTTGCTTCTACCTCAAACCAGCAAATCTGGAAGGCTGAGGCCCTCACTGACACAAGCATTCTCAAATCTTAAATGCAAAATGTGTATCAATGACTTCAGTCTATCTCCCTAGCCATGACTCTGTGATTTATCAGACACATTCTGAGAAAATCGCTGGGAATGGTTTCCCTGCAAAACCCAACTGTGGTGACTTCTTTGCAAAGACACAGACGCAACAATATGCTCATACCACACAATAACAATTTTCCCTCTTTTGCCCAAGTATACGAAAATTTTCATCTCTGAATGTGTCCTAAGTAATTAGAACAGAAAGGCAGGGTGGAGAGGAGGCGATCTATACCACCCCTATGGCATCGGGCCCCTATGCAGGAAGGAAATCAGGATTTGTTAAATTAGAGAGAAGCAGGAGAAAAGAACCCACAGCCTAGGAAAGAGCCATGCTTGGATTTCAGGTTTCGGGTTTCTGCCCCCCCAGAAGATGTGCATATACATTCATCAGTTACTGCATAAAATGTTACATGCGTCAAGCCACAAAAACATTTCAGAACAGGAGGCTGAGAGCCCACAGCTATATAGCTCATTTGGAGCAATCATCCCATGACACACTCTGTCCATGATCAATCATAGAGTCACAGAGTGGTTTGCATTGGAAGGGATCTTATAGCTCATCTAGTTCCAGCCGCCCTGCCACAGGGCCGCCTGCCGCAGGCAGGGACACCTTCCACTAGACCAGGGGCTCAAAGCCCTGTCCAACCTGGCCTTGAATAATGATTAAGTTGCCGTGAGTGAAGGAAACAATGCATCTCTTGCTGGTTTCCAGTTAGGAAAACACACGGCTTTGTCCAGGAAATGTGGATGTGACTAAACACAGAGGGTAAAGACGGGTTTGAGTACTCTCTGGCTGAATGGCCAAGCCTGTAAATTACTGCACAGAATGACAGAATCATGGAATCAACTGGATTGAAAAAGACCTTTAAGATCATGAAGTCCAAGTGTTCCCCAGAAGAAAGACGTGAACTTTCCAGGCTTTGTTTAAAAGAAAATGGTGAATGTTGGTCTGTTCTTTGACAGAGTGGCTGTAGGTAAGGGCACATGGTGACCATACTTTTCCAAACCCTTTGCTGGTGGGAGCAGTATCTGGCTTGTGGTGGCTCTTTGGAGAGCAGCTGGGACACTGCACTGCCACCTCAATACCTTTGGCTTAGGATGCAGTAACTGTAACCTGCAGTGGGACTCCTTCAACAGTTTCCTGAGCAGCTCCATAGAACAAACAAGGTCAGCTTTTGGGCATTCTGGGGGGAAGCAGAGGCCTCTGCATCATTGGCTTAGACCTACTTGTTGTTTCATGGCTTTTAAAAAATATCTCACAAGTCAATGATAAGAAAATGGTCAAAAAGAGAACACTCACCAATGTGCTTGCTGAGCTTCACTCACCCACTTGCATGCATCTTAGGCAACCCTTAGATTGCAGTGTAACACCCTGGGGCATGAAAATCTCCCAAGCTAAAGGAAGCCCAGACCAAGATGCTTTGTATTGGTATCTGCTTCATTTGAAACACTGATACGGTAATGTGACTGCTTGCTGGATGAGGTGGGAAGGCAGCAAATCATCTTTCTTACCAGTGGCAGTAATAGCAATAGAGTGGAAGCATGAAACTGCTGACAAGACTTAAAGCAGATTTCTCCGTACCACTGATGGTTTTCTCACTCATTCACTGTGCTCGTCATTCTTACATTATGCTTCCTCATGAGAGCTGCAAAACACAAACTATCTTTGAATGAAGATGACTCCTCCAGAACCCCTTCCATTCATATTAGTGCCCAGGGTATGACTCAGGTGTTCACAATAGAAGCAGGATTCTCCTCTGTCTCCAGAGGACGCACCAAACCAAACTTGCTTCCAGACCTTCATTAGAGCTCATCATGTTGCTGTGCCACATGTTGGCCACATTCATGTTGCTGGGAGCAACTTATTTTGCTTATTCATAAATTGCCGGGAGCAACTTATTTTGACATTCCAAACTATTGTCCTTATGTGGATGGTTTGTGCTAGTGGAGATCTTGGACCTCCATCCACGGCAAGAAGCACTGTATCATGCCAATCTTGGAGAATGCACTCTGAGCAAGTTCTGGGGCTTGACTTAGCTCTGCCATAGCTGCATGGCCATGTCATACTTTTTATTAAATGTTGGCAAGTTGCACTATTTCGTACTGGCACGTTTCCAGTCAGCAGTCTCATGTACAAGGACACTCTGACAGAATCACAGTGTGGCTGAGGTTGGAAGGGACCTCTGGAGGTCATCTACTCCAACCACCCTGCTCAAGCAGGGACACCTGGAGCTGATTGTTCAGATAGCTTTTGAATATCTCCAAGGAGGGAGAATCCAAAAACTCTCTAGACAACCTGTGACAGTGTTTCATGATCCTCAGATTAAAAATTAGGGGGTTTGTGTTCAGATTTAATGTAATGGTTTTTAACTTGTGACCACTGCCTCTCACCCTGTCACTGCACACCACTGAGAAGACTGGCTCCCTCTTCTTCATTCCCTCCAATCAGGTACTTGTTTTTACACATGAATAAGATCTCCCTAAGCTCTCTTTTCTCCGTGCTGAACAGTCTCAGATCCCCCAGCCTCTCCTCATATGCATTATGCTCCCCAGTCTCTGAATCATCTTTGTGGCGCTTCAGTGAACTCACCCCAGTAAATCCACACCTCTCTTGAGCTGCAGAAATGAGTGGTGGTTCTTCTGAGCTGGCACAGAAAGGCCAAGTGAGATGGACACAGGCCTAAAACTGCTTAAGAAGCCTGAGGACAGAAGATCTGGGCCTGGTTATGGACAATGTAATTGGGCTGATAAACTGTTGTGAACATACAATCCAAGATCCAGCAGAACAGAGGCCATATCAAAATTATATGACAAATGTTATTTTACTATCTAACCTGGTAGAGTCAGTTTATTCTGGGACAGAAATTTGGCTGAGGTAGCTGCAGTGTGTTTAATTAAACCCCAAATTGTCTGCAACTGGTTTTGCATTTGACACTGCAATACATGCAATACTGACTGAGAAATTTATTGATTTCTATGATTTGCTTTTTCAATCTTCCAGCAAGATACTCTGGAAGCAGAAAGCTTTCACAAAAGCAAGTAGTAGCTTAACAGATAAAACATTCCAGAGCAGCTAAAATAATTTAGTATTTTAGGTAAATATATATATATATATTTAAAGCCCATATATCATACGTGTCCAGCATGAGACCTGGATATATAAGAAAAATTCTGCAATACTGTGTAAATTGTTCAAACAAATAGTAGAAGAAAGCCATCCTTTGAGCCAACCACCTGAGGTTAGCAATTAGCATAGCTATGCTAAGAATGATTCCCATTGCAGATATCTCATATGTCTCAGATATCACTAGCTGATACCTCAGTCAACATAAATCCACTTTGTCACTCTGTTTACACTGGTGGAGAGCTCTGGTTAAACCAAAACCTTCCCATAAACTGCACTGTTTTGTACACAAGGTATAGAAAATATTTGTGTTTGGGTTTCTGGCTTCTCAGCCAACAGACTGCTTCTTTTTCTTTGAGATAGCTGGCTTGCTTTGAACAAAGCACTTAAATGTTGATTATAAGGGAACAAATCTCAAGCTTGCTGGGGCAGACCTGCTCCAAAAATCATTCAGGAAGTGTAAAAACAGGAGAAGGAGAAGTCACCCTGGTGCTTTGTCGTGGTTTAAACCCAGTCAGGTAACTGGTTCGCTCACTTCCCCCCCTTTCTTGCCCTCCCCCTGCTCTCGGAGGGACGGAGAGGAGAATCGAAAAGAATGCAACTCCCACGGGTTGAGATAAGAACAGTTTAGTAACTAAGGTATAACACAAATCACTACTGCTACCACCAATGATAATAATGATAAAGGAAATAACAAGGGAAGAGAATACATCATCTCACCACCAGCCGACCGATAACTCGCCCCCCAAGCCCGACCGAGCTCTGACCGATACCTCCTCCAACCCTGCCGTCTCCCAGCCCTTCCGGCTAACTCCCAGTTACATCCTGGGCATGACGTGCTGTGGTATGGAATACCTCTTTGGTCAGTTTGGGTCAGGTGTCCTGTCTCTGCTTCCTCCTGGCTTCCCCTCCTCCCTGGCAGAGCATGAGGCTCACAAAGTCCTTGGCCAAACCAAAACATCACTTGTTATCAGCTCTGTTCCCGAGCTGAAAGTCAAAACACTGCACTACACCAGCTACCAAGAAGGGGAAAAATGACTGCTACTGCTGAACCCAGGACATTATCCACCCCTTATTCTATACCATTCACGTCATGCTCAGATCCCACATTTTCAATATACCATCACTCTTATCTCGGTGCACTCTTATCTTAGTGCATGGACCAGTCCCTATAAAGCTGCTGTGTCCATCTGGTCCATGATGTCAGGCTCCATCTCTTGTAACAATCTTCCAGAGCAGGAGAGACTGTGTGCAGTGCTCACACTTGTGAATAACCTGGGCAATATTGTCCATTGCTAAGTCCACCCCTCGATCATGAGTCCATCTCTGTGTTGCATCTCTGCTCTGATGGCCTGAAGTGCCATGGGCCCACCAGGCTTAAAATAATTCACTGTCCCCTTAAGCAGTTTCTGCAGCTTGTTGCTGGGGACTCCATACAGCTGCCTTCCATCTCCGACGCTTCCAAAGCACTGGAGGGGCCCAGTGGACTAGATACTTGCCCATACTGTCCCACACACCCTGCCACTCATGACTCTCCAGCCTTGGAGAAAATCTCTTGGTCCCCCTATATTGTCGTCTAACCCCAGGCAAGACCCAAACCTGACTCTGCTTAACTTTTGAGATCAGACAAAATGGTTGTGGGTAGCACACAGTCTGTGTGTGTGCCAACATGCTGATCCCCATCACAATCAGCAGGCAGGTCCCAAGGATACCCAAAGGCCATTCAAAACCCTCAGAACTCTCAGTTGATGCTGCTGTACTTGTCCCTGGGGCTGGTGTAGCTGCTGTGCTTGCCGGCCCTCCCACCGCCAGCTTCTCTTTTCCTGAGTCCAGCTCTTCCTCCTCTGCCTTGCTGGGAAATGCTGCGTGGTCTCCTGCATCCTCCTGGGGCTCGGCGGGCGGCTTCCGGGAAACGCTCTCGGCCGTCGCGGGGCTGGGCTCCTCCGCGGGGCTCGGCTCCTCCGCGGGGCTCGGCTCCTCCGCCGCCTTCTCCCGCTGCTCGGCAGCCGCCTCCTTCCGCTCCTCGAGCACTCCGGCCTCCTCCACCGGCACCCGTCCCCTCGCGGCCTCCGGCCCCGCTCCCGCGGCCTCTTGGTCCCCGGGGCCGCTCTCCCGGGCCGCTTCAGCAGCCGCCGGCTCCCGGGGCCGCTCCCCCTCGGGTCCCCGCAGCCTCACGAAGATGGAGAGTAGGGTGAGGGCCAGGACGGTGAAGAGCAGCCGGACGGCCAGGTACAAGTCCACGGCCACGTCCGTCCCGCCCTGCTGCTGGAGCCCGCCCGTATTACAAGCCATTGCCATAAAGCACAGTGAGACAAGAACCTTAGCCCAGGCCCCATACTTGATAAACACTAACACAGCAAATACCGGCTCTACGTAAGTTACAACATTCTGAAGCTGTGAGATCAAGCAAAACAACTCTGAGACCCAATAAATCAGCATTGTGACGAATGACTATTAATTCGGTCAGATCTGTTGTTATCTCAACCCTTCGTGCCCCACGTTGGGCGCCAAAAAGAACTGTCGTGGTTTAAACCCAGTCAGGTAACTGGTTCGCTCACTTCCCCCCTTTCTTGCCCTCCCCCTGCTCTCGGAGGGACGGAGAGGAGAATCGAAAAGAATGCAACTCCCACGGGTTGAGATAAGAACAGTTTAGTAACTAAGGTATAACACAAATCACTACTGCTACCACCAATGATAATAATGATAAAGGAAATAACAAGGGAAGAGAATACATCATCTCACCACCAGCCGACCGATAACTCGCCCCCCAAGCCCGACCGAGCTCTGACCGATACCTCCTCCAACCCTGCCGTCTCCCAGCCCTTCCGGCTAACTCCCAGTTACATCCTGGGCATGACGTGCTGTGGTATGGAATACCTCTTTGGTCAGTTTGGGTCAGGTGTCCTGTCTCTGCTTCCTCCTGGCTTCCCCTCCTCCCTGGCAGAGCATGAGGCTCACAAAGTCCTTGGCCAAACCAAAACATCACTTGTTATCAGCTCTGTTCCCGAGCTGAAAGTCAAAACACTGCACTACACCAGCTACCAAGAAGGGGAAAAATGACTGCTACTGCTGAACCCAGGACATGCTTTCTTGAGAGGTGAGATGCTGAGGTTCAAATCCTAGATCTGAATCAGGAATCAGAGAGACGTAACCCTGCCACTGCATGTCTTGGGCATGGGCTCAGGCTATCTGCAGACATCCCTCTGTTGTTTTTGTTTGTTTTTCTGCTGTGCCAGCTCTCACAAATAGGTTCAGAGAGAGCCCACCATGCAGGATGGACTCCAGGTGAAAGAACACAGTGAGCTCTTGCAAAGCTCAGCCTGCATACACGACACTGGGAATGTAGCCATGGGGGTATTCAGAAGTCTCAAGGGTTAGATTGCAGCTTTGGAAGGCATTGCAGGTTTAAATTCGTAGGCACCTGCACATGAAAGGAGGATTTCCTATTACTAATACATCCTGTAGGGTCACACAGGGACATTACTGGTGACAAATGGTCTAATGGTTACTGAAGTCATCCCCCAGTTACTGTGATCCCACCACCCAGCTGGAGAAAGATGGTTCAGTACCGACTGTTCTTACACATTTCTGCCTGTTAAACTAACACGACCTCCTGTGCTAACTAACACATCTCCTCCTGCTGGTTTCTTTATCAATAGAATAATGGCTGAAAACAAATTAAAAATGAACACTATACACTATGTCTTGATGATCTGAGTAAACACTGCAGCAAACCTCCCGCAGACTTTGTGCCAGATGTAAAAGTAGTTAGCTATGCTGTTCTGAAAGCCACTTAGTTTTGGGAATGCATAGTGTGGTGAGGACAATATTGCTGTAAGAGCAATAGTAATGTCCTTACTTCTTGATATTTACAGGGCAGTCCTACCATTGCTATAGTTTGGGGGATTTTTAGCACACAGATTAAATCAGTGCTGCAAGTGAAACTGCAAGTGTAAGCCAGCAGAGATAGCTGGTTTGCTTTGAATAAAGCACTTAAATGTCAATTATAAGGGAACGACTCTCAAATGTGGTTTGGGCTTCACTTGGGGCTCAGACCTTCCTGAGGTCCTTCATCTGCACTGAGTCCTGTAACGCAGCATCCTCATTGCTACTAGTTTCTTTATCAGGTAACTTCAGGCTGGCACGTCTACACCCTCATATGCAGTGGTCACACCTCTGTTCTTTCGAGTACATACTTCGCTCCATGAATGCTTTAGATTTTCCAAGCCCTGTTCACACACAGCTATTTACTAAAATTTTTATGGGCAGATCAGGTGGATGTAAAGAATAGGCTTAAGGCTCTAATTCTTCAGTGAACTTTGTACCTTCTCCATCCGCCAGTTAGACAGATGCACCTGGAAGGCGGCTTGTGGAAGGATCTGAAAAGCAGGTCTGGGGTTGGAAACTCCTGACTAATGCAACAGCTACCTTTCTGGTTCCATATTCCAGGCCATTTGACAGCACCAAGACACAAAAGCTACCTATAATGCTTGGAACAACTATGCTCTGTGATTTTTTTATCCTCATTTTAGATCAATCTAGCAGTAATAAACTGATTCCTACGGTTCCTGGCAGCCTGCCCCAGAATGAGAAGTATTCTCTCCCCTGTTTAAATGAAGGATTGTTCAGCCAGACTTCTCCTCTAGCTCTGGGAAGTTTGGACTGTGGTGACTTCTTGCTCCTAGCCACCCCCACATCGTGTTATTTATTTGTGGCATTTTGCATAAGAGTTCCTATGTAAATTATAGCTTGGAGCCTTTGTCCGACAGATAGCAAGAGCTGCACTGTGCTGTTCCCCCAGCGACAAGCCTGCTTCGGTGTCAATAAATCACCATTCCGAACACAGCAGAAAAAAATATAAGCATGCTGGAAATTTAAAATCGGATCTTTACTGTCATTCTTCTCTCATCACAAGTAAACCAAAAAGAAAAGAAAGACGCTTGTGGTACTAGAAGCTTTTGGATTGTTACAACTACTAACCAAAACCCCTGATAAGCTGCCAACCAGACTACTTTCCTCAAGCTTATTATTCCATTTCTGTTTCTGCCATTTAACTCCTCAGCTGTAATATTTCCATGCAAACAGCATGGTGTGCCCAAAATATCTTATCTTACATTAGAGAGAAAACAAAAGTTTTCAGAGAGGATACTCTATCTCTTTTCCCCCACATGGCTGCAACTATGCAAAACCAAAATGGTTTCTCTCTTGGCAGAAGGCGGGATTCCTAATGAGCCAACACACAGAAAACAGATAAAATGAAGAGACAAACACCAGTGCTTATTCTATCCTCTTTCTTTCCCCGTCCTACTTTGTCCAGCTCTTCCATCCCCATTATTATCACTAACTACAGCTGACAGAAATCGTGTAATCGGCTGATGAGCCCCATACATTGAAGCAAATTTAACACTTCTTCCCCATATTCATGGCATGGAATATTTACTTTGTCTGTATCTCTGCTCTAATTTCCTCCTAACTTTGCCTAGTACTTCTGATTCTTCTTATTAAAATTCTTCTTATTTAACAGATTCTTTTTTCTCTTTCTTCCATAACATGCTTCACCCTTTGAATACTTTCCTTAAGTTTTACCTCTACTTGCTGTGTCTTGTTTCTTTGCACATTCCTTTCAAGCCTTGAGTGGAGGCTTCCTTCCCACCCTTTACATTTAAATAGGTGGATCCTACCAGCTGATAGATACCCTTTTATATCATAGAGTCATAGAATAGTTAGGGTTGGAAAGGACCTAAAGGTCATCAAGTTCCAACCCCCCTGCCATGGGCAGGGACACCTCACACTAACCCATGTCATACATTTACTTTTCTCACAGTGTAGAGAGTTAACACTTAGAGAAGCTGGAAGAGAGGAAGGCCACCTCTACAGGATCAACCTTTAGAGCAAGTGAAGATGAAGAGACCGTGGTGGGGTACTGGGATATGTGGGCTTAAACTAACACAAGCTATATGTTTTTATGGATCCCTGTGCCTACACGTTTAACAGTTCACTGAGGCTGGCTCTATACATGAGATAGCCTATTAATAATGTTTATTACATAATTTTGCTTTTATCTCCCCCTCGGGAAAAAATGTCAGTATTTTATCACTTGCAGTTCTGCTGACTTCTAACAAGCCATTTGGGGGTATTTTTTTTCCTGAGCTGGTTTTGGTGGTGAGTAGGAGTGAAGAAATTCAGTAAGTCTGTAGGCAATTGCTGTACTGGCAGTGTGCATTGGTTTTCGTTTTGGAATTGGCATGAAGGCCCTCCAAGTAACACAAGCTCTCCTTTTTGACAGAATCGACAAATAAATTATATAACATGATGCAGTTGGACAGTTTCCTTGGGGGGATGAGGACTGAGTGAGGTCAAAATGGAAAGCTCCTTTCACATCAGGGGTATTCCCTCACTTTACTGTTAAAACAAAGCACGTTTGAATGCAAAAGGCTTCTATGCCACTTTACAAAATGTAGCCAAGATTTGAGATAACACAGCTGTCTAAATCGGGTTCTTCAATCTATAGACAGACATAGAGTAATCTATGATACTTGATATATACTATATATATACTACTTGATAATCAGAAGTGTTTGACCTCTCACAAATTCTGTCTACTTGGCCAGGCAGGGACACTGCAAATTATTAGTGCCTTTAATCTGTGCAAGTAATTCAGCTGAAACTGTATATTCTTTGAAAATACTGATTGAATTTGTACAAGAAACTAGTATCTAACTATGTTGAAATCCAAAATAGACAAGTGTCCTTGCTTCTTCTAACTTAATTTGAACCCCACAAATTCTCTGACATTTCCCATTCTTGGTAACACTTGCTTTGTATTCAAATCATACAGTATATTGGACTATATTTTTCATATAATTTCCAATAAATGTTTTCAAAGCTTTGGAAGCTGACCGCCCTGAGTGAGTTTCAGATCCTTTGGGGAGATTTATGAGGCGGTAAGAAGTGAAGGAATGGAGAGGAAAAGAAGTTTGCAATACAGCTTTTGCCACATACACAGAAAGAAAGGCACAGAATCATAGAACCATAGATTCTAAACAAATAGTCCTAGTTAGGTCAAAAACAAACCTGCAGGAAAAAAATAACAAAGAGATTGCTCTCTATATATTGCTCAAACCTCTAAATTTCCTGTATTGCAAACAAGAATTCTTTGTTCTTTTCAAAAAATCATCAGGAAAAAGGTTTTTTACACCAAGGAAATCATACAACACAAAGTTCATTTAAGTCCGATAGATAAACTGCAGTTTGGTGAAGGATAAACTCTTACTATCTAAATGTCATCATCTTTTTGACCCTTCACATCAACCTGGCATCATGGGAGGCAGAATGCTCTTTAAAGCAGTAGTAATAGGGGGAAAAACAACAAGTTAAGCATCATCTGAACAATTGTTATCAAATAACACATTGCAGTTCTGTGGCCCTCTTTGTACAAGGATGTGAAAACATACTGAAATAATTTAATTATTAACATATCAATACTCCAAAAAGGTACTTTAACGTCTAATTCCTAAGCGCAGACACAAAGATGACACTTCCTTTTTTTGAGTTTAAACAAGAAGGCTGTGTCCAAGCCATGTGCAGAATCTTGATCCTTCCACAACCAGCCTCATGATTCCACCACAAGGTTGACACCTTGTGACACGGTCAATAAATGCCTTTTTGGCACAGGACAATTTTTTCCTTAAATACCATAACCTCTGACCACTGAGGCACAATTAAGTGCTCTCAATGTGGATATAAAAGGATCCTTGTCTTAAATAGTTGCTTCCACATACCTTGCCCTGGGTCCTTGTTAGATGAATATAACCTGCATGTTCCCACCTCTTAAAAGCTCACTTAGTGCAGCTTCCAGGCCATGGCTGTTTCAGCCAAGGCAGCTGTAGCTGAGCAGCACAGCCAGCACCTTTCTGCACTTACTATTGCAGTGTGTGAAGGCTCTCACGAGAATCCAGTATTTATGATGAATTCTTCTATGTACATTGGATGTTCACTGGAACAAGCTCAATCTACTGGAACAAGCTTAAACTTTCATGTTGTTGGCATTAAAAAAATCTTTGTGGCTTACTTAATAAATGCTTAGTGTATTCAGGGGTGGTTCCTCCAAAAAGATAAGCTCCAACATCATGATCGCCTAATTCATGAATGTTTTCAAAATCCTTACGCTATAGAATATATTTACATCACATTATAATTTTATTTGATACTAAAGTGCAAATTTGCCCAGTGGCCATAATGCATGTGTGAGTGCAAACCTTCACAGAGAAGATACTTTGGGACACAATGGATGGAGAAATTCAGTTCATACCATCAGTGCAGCATGGATGGGTGAGGTGTGCTGTGCTGGTCTAGGCTGCTAACATGTAGCCTACTCTTTTACAAGGGGAAGTAGGAATTGAATGCCCTCCTGCCACTGAGGATGCACTGAGCAAGAAACAAACATAGTACTTATAAAAATGTGTGTGGAGTGGCCAACATGTGGCTTACTCCTTAGCTGAGGCTGCTGAGAAACCATAGCAATCCTCTACTTGAACAACTTAATGAATCTTTGGATAGCTATACAGCAATGACAGTTCTGCTCTTTGCAAAGCATTGCTCATTCTCATACAAAATGAAAACATTAATTTGGAGGTTTGCAGTTTTGCATTTTCACATCTTTAAATTATAGTTTAATCAGGACTGCATTATACAAGCAAAGAAGGATGTGAGTTTACAGCCTGTCGGCTGGCTGGACAGTCATGGTAATGATTTTCACAACCCTGCTGCTTCTGGCAGCTGTCATCCTTTCTAAGGATGCAGAATCAATGGCTCCAGCTGTAGGAGGTTATGCACTGCTCCTGCACAGTGCATTGGCACTCTGTCATCGGTACTAACCATGCAGCCACGCTGTCACATGAAGTCTTTCCTGAATTATTTACCTGTAAGGAGGTAGGTATCTGTTTGTTACCATCTTGTTTGTTTACAGTGAAGATAGTACATACACTGCATTCTCTGTCAACAGGTACAAAAGGATCAAGGAAAGCCAGGTCCACGTCTCAGCAATGCTGTGTTCTCAGTGCTTTCCCCTGACCTCCTTCAGTCACTTATTCCTGGTCCTGACTCATCACCCTTCCAGCAGCCAGCGCTTTCTGTTGGCAGCACTGTCTTAGGCCATAAAACTTAGTGAGGACTTGGAGTAGAGAATCATGTGTCTTTCCAAGCTGCTGGTGGGATTTTGTTTAAACCTTTATTTTAATATACAGCTCACAGGCATCTGATTTTGTTTTTCTCCTGGATATTAAAGGTTACATAATTAATCATCAGCTTGGGGGAAGAATCTGCAGGGAAGATTAGGAGTTCCTCACACTGCTCTTCCACTTGTACATGCTGTAAAAGGAACCCATTACCAGCAGCAGAACTGTTCCTGTACCACCACCCTGCTCTTTTAATTAAAAATCCTTGAATGGGTGTTCAGATTCCATTTCTGATGGCATTTCTACAATGAGAACCGAGAAGGCATTTATTGAAACCATTAAAAATTTTATTCCAAAATTACAAACATAACAACATGTCTTCTCTAAGTAAGATCAGAAATGAAACATTTTAACCCCATGAGATTCATAGCTTTATGTGCTACACTCGTGTAAAGAGAAAAACAAAATTGTTATTTTCTACACATGAAGGAAAACTTGGCACTGTAACATTGAAACTGCTCAATGAATTCACTGGAAGAAAAAAAAAATAAAAATCAAACTTTGTTTGAAAAGATTCCTTGCAGTAGGGGGAATTATAGGATTTCCCCATCTTCTGCTTTTCTTCCCAAGAAGGAAAGGGGAAGGAAATCTTACACTGGTCTTCCTCTCCCCCTTCCAAGGGCTTCTTTTAGCAGTTACTACAAATATTTTTTTAAAAGCCAAGCCAAAACAAGAGGCACAAAGTGGACCTTATCTTCATGTCATTTAAAGAGAACAACTATTCTTGGATGTTTATAAAATATTGCTACTAATGAGATTGCTGAATCTTAGTCAATAGAAAGTTATGACAGAATTTGCGATTGTCATGCTTGAACTCTCATCTACTGCCAACCTACTGCAAACCCCTGCTCTGGCCAGCTGTGTCCCCTGGCTGAGAACATGCTTTCTACTGTCTTTTGCTCAGTCCCTGTGTAATTCAGTCATACCTCAGTTATTTTGTGACCTCCTGACTCGCTCAGCAAGGAAGACAACATGTTATCAATACCTATGGGACAAGCTCTGCTGAGCATGTATTTAGATATACGGAGAAGCCGTATGTCTAAAAACGGCTAATCTGCATTTAGATAGACAGAGAAGTAGCAGCGCAGAGTGCTATGGCAGTGATTTCGGTTCAGCAAAGCTTTCCTCTCCGAGTAGCAGCACAGGCACGCAGAAAAAACTAAATCCTCTAGGTCACTGGAAGCACCCAGTAGGTTTACTTCAAGATCTACCTAGAACTATAGCCCTTCACAGTCACCAGGACACCCTGAATGAAGCCTTCCCCTTTCACTATCAAACCAAGGTGAAATCCATGCCGTTTAAGAGAAACATTTTAGCAACATTACACTGACTGTGTAACAGCAGATAGACCTTTAGAACACTCCTCTCCACCACATAACTATCTACCTTTATGCTTTGGTTTTTATTTCAAAGACTGACATGAACTTTCCACTTCTCCTAGGAAGAGACAATGTCAGGTAACTAAAAGAAGTAATAAAAAAAGGTAATAATAATTTGTTTAAAAAACCCTTTCACATTAAATCAGAATGGCAAAAAACTGGAAATGTTACTCACAACATTCTTACAGGTACCTGAAGTACCACCAGTGATTATGGCTTACTCTGAATTTTACATGATTTTTACAGTACCTATTTTAGTGAACTGACTGGCAATTGTCTCTTGTGGGAAGTGATATGAATTCTCATTTTGTACTCCTGAAGCCCACCTGACTGCATGCAGTGACTGACTGACTGCATCAGTGGTGTCAGTGATCACTTCACCTGGATTTAAGTGCTAATATAAAACAAAAACACTCCTCACCCCCCACTTCGCTTCAACATATAAAAATCATCCCACAAAAGCATCAGTTTTACACCTTCAAAAAATTGAAGAAACTTCACCCTTTCAGTGTCCTTAAAGGGACCACCCCCCACCCCCCCCAAGTCACTGTAATTTACTGCATGTGAACATAGGTTTGCTTTGTGAGCTGGACTGATGCCTTTCATGGAGGACCCCTTAAGATGTACAGCAGCTTGTTGGTGGAGGAATTCAAGTGTGGGGATGACAAAGTATGATGATGCACAATATATTTACAGCAGGTACCTTCATCATTTCAAACTGAAGCTATCCTTTAAGGTTTACACATGAAAAAAATTCTTAAGATTCAAAACTGTTCATGTTAACTAATGTTTCATTAAGTATCCACCAAGATTTGAAACAGTGCTACTATCTGCAGGTACCTTTTGTATAAATGCACACCTGCTAGATGAAAGGTCAGGAAAAAACCCAGTAAAAGCTATGACAACAGTTTTGTGCTCCTGAGATGAGATGATTTTAAAACACAGATTATTTAAGTAAATTCTTCCTGTCAAAAGGAAAACTGCATGTGGGCCATGTGCCTGCTGTTTACAAAAAACATTCCAATTTTATCTCATTTAAAAATTCTTTAATTATTACACAACAGCACTTTTGTGATTGTGTTATCAAACAGGGAGCATGGCTATTACACAATCTGGATTGTTCTAAAGTGAGTGTTTTGGGGCTGTAATGATATAGAATGAAATTACAGCTTGCAATTTAGTCAATCTCTCAAGAAAAAACTTGAGGAGCAATAAGAAACTTGGCATAAAGAGCATGCTTATTAGCCTTAGGAAATGTTGCTGTCAAAAAGCAACTTGCTACCTTCAGCCCCAATTCAGACTCTTCATCCTCATCATAAGAGCCAATCCTATTCATAAAGTGAATCCTTGTGCTCCAGACCAGCTTTCTGCATTGGTGTATATAGTCCAGCAGAAATCTAGCTTTAACTGCTTATTTTCACTTCTTAAAATTCCCCCTGCTACCCACCACAACTGCTTTGACTGTCATAAGGCAAAAGATGTAACTAAGCACAATAAACCACGCTTATTACAGCTAGATCAGTTCTTCTGATAATATTCTGCTGTATTAAAGTATGTTTTAAAATAAGTTGCAAGTATTCTAAAATTAGTTACTAGTATGCATCTTAATAAATAGAAGACATTAAGTCATAAAATCATTTAGACTGTAAAGAGCCTCTGGAGGTCAACTGAATCCAGCTCCCTACTCAAAGCAGGTCTAAGTCTATCAGGATGGTGAGGTAAATTCACTTGACCATCTCCAAGGGCTATGATTCCATAACATCTCTGGTTTCATTGCTTGATCTTCTTCATAGTAAAATCCCAAAATAATATTTTTTTTAACCCCTTAAATCTAACTGGAATTACCCTATTCGTGTCCACTGACACTCATCCTGTTTCATGTACCTTCAAGACCAGTCTTGCAGTGAATCCTCCCTTCGAAGGGACCAAAAGCAACAGTAAGATGTGGTTTTAGCCTTGCTAATGAAGCCCAGAAAGGACACTATGGCTCTGCTATGGTCATGTCTCTTTCCACAGGGGCACTTGCTGCTTGTGTTCACCTTGCTGTCCACCATGTCCCCAAGCCCTTTTCTGGAAAGCAGCTTTCCGTTCAGTTCAGGACCCCTCCCTGCACTGCTACATGAGGTTATTCCATCCCAGATACAGGACTTGACATTTGGCTTTGCTGAACTTCAAGACATTTCCATCACCCAAATCCTCCAGCCTTCTGCACTTCCCCTGAATTGCAACCCTGCCCTCCAGCATACAGACTGCCCCTCCCCTCCTAGACTGGTATAGTACAGGATTAGGCATGGAAGTGAAGAGACTAATCTGTCTTGAAAATCACTTCTAAAGAAAGAAACCTGCCATCCTGATGGACAAATCAGTTCCTGTGACTGTTACCCAGCCAAAAGCGTAACTGCAGACAGTAAGCAGAAGCGCTGGCAAGTTACAGCAACTTTCCACATGTAGATGAATTCCAGAACTTTGGGAGCAAAGAGGGAAAAAAGGTACATGGATGGAATAAGGTGAAGGCAAGTCATTAATTTTTCCCTTCAACCTTAAATGCAAAACTGCATAAAGATAAGTGTCTGTTTCTTTCCAATATTCACATTCACCTCACTTATCAGTCACTACACAGAACCTTGAAAAGGATCTTGAATTTTCTCAGAAGTGTTATGATATATTCTGCAGTGCAAATGTGCTAAGGAAACAGAGGGAAGTGTGAAACCCAAGCTGAAAAACCTAGAAACTTAAGAAACCCTCCAAATTACAACAGCTGAACACCACAGGGTTTTGCTGCTTCATGTTTGCATGATTAATCTCAAGAACTTCAAAATTTCAAAATGTAAGCTTTAAAACATACACAGCTCATTACTTACACCTTTTGAAAGGCTTTTCCCCTCCTTGAATCAAAAAGCTCTACTCCAGAAAGCTTCAAACACTGGGCAAGATTAAAAAGGAGATTTAGGACAGGAAAAAAATCTGAAGCATGAACACACAGGTCTACACAAATTATTCTGCTTGTAGGTTGTTAGGTTTCATGAAAGGTGTAGGCTATACATGCTTTTGCTCCACCAAGCTGCTTCTGTGGCAAACAAACAAAAATCTGCAAGTGCAGAAAGATTCCTGTTTGGCCAAACATTCAGTGGGAATCCATTTGTTTGTACCATCCACTTATTTTTTTTAAATGCAACAATTGCAACAGTAACTGTAATTTTCCACTTCCAAACTCAAACAGCTCTGACAGCAACTGCATTCTTCAGGACAAATCTAACAGAACCAATACTGTAAATTTTGCAGACTGTGATCCTAAATGCTTCAGACCACCATTATGCTAAAAAGCTCCTATACAACATAATTATCTGTTTAAGTTAGAGAGATGCAGAGGCTGTTAAAATTGGCCAATTTTATTCAAACATTGTTAGATGAACACATGATTACCTTCTCAGAAAAGTTACATATTCATGTGCTTTTTATTGAAAACTGTTTTTTTTTCCTCTACAGGAATATTTCAGTAGAAGCCAGAGTCTTGAGTAGCCCAGTTGGGTGCCTAAAAAAATAAATAATGATTAGTAAAAAAGAAATTATTATCTATTGGCTATTGAAATTTATGAGAAATTGTAAAAAAAAAATGCTGATACATAGCTATGAAGTGGCAATATTGTTAATTAGGGAAGAATACCCTACAAGTTTAAAGCAGATGTCGATACAGCAGAAATACATGATGCAATTAAGTTGTACAGCCTGAGCCCTCTAAGCTGGTACTTTCAGAAAGGAAAAATTCTAAATGAGTCTAAAAGAAACACATAAAATAAGCATATATATTTTTTGAATGCAATAATATCACATAAGTTTCACGACTTAACTTCAATGGAATAAACTAATGCACCACTCCCTGTCCAACTCCCATCAATATTTCAGACAAGCAATGAGGAAGCCCAATAAAACTTCTAACACTTTCCAAGTTCTTTTAATGTGTGGTTTGGTTTTTGGGTGTTTTTGAGTATATATGGCTGGGTCCTTAAGTAGACCTCAGAGTTATCCACCCTACACTGCTGCTCTTCTTTACAACAAAGCTGCCTATGTTTTAAGGCAGACAGAGGCAAAGCCAGATGATCTTGCCAACTTCTTCACTTTCACTAGCTCTACTTAAACCTCTGGCTGACCTAATTATATTCTCTAGTATTTCATGAAATGGGTTTAACAGTTAGGGTTTTGCACAACTCCTCCTTCATGTTCCAGTCTTAAGTCTTATATATACACCTACAGATATTTAAATACAACCCACTTGAAAAAAAGTAATATAACTACTTTGACAAAACAGCCTTCAAAATTAGCCCTTTTCAGGTGGTGAAGGAAACCATTTAAAGGAAGTAGAGAATCAAATGGTGAGAGAAATACACTTATTTATGCAACAATAAAAGGAATACTTGGTGATTAAGAGACAGGCAAGAACAAGAATCACTGCCTAATGCTCACCATAAGGAAAAAAAAGTTTTGCAATTTGATTCCTAGTGCCAGAACTAGAAGTAGGTATATTTGATGAATTAAAGAACAGGCTAAGAATTATACTTCAGTATATCTCACAATAAAAAAAAAACAAACACACACCTCAGGAATTCAGAAAAACATAACTTATACCAACCTCAGATCTACCACTCTGATTCAATTTCTTCTCAATGTTCATAGCCAACATTTGACTACGGAAAGACAGGCTTTTGGTCTTTTCAATCACTTGTTGGTAAGGTGAGACTGCATTGTTGCCCATGACTACATGGCCCTAAAACACAGCAAAGATAGAACAATTAAACAATTACTCAGAATGCTAAGCCTTTAATAGAATGCTCTGCTTTCAAAGCTTTCACAGTTCATCTTACACACAGGATCAAAACAGAATACATGAGTCACTTTATGGGCAAAGAAAAACAGCAGAAATCAGAACTCTCTGTTCTTGAATGCAATAAAAGAAATTTAATGAAAAACTCAACAAATTCACCTGGATCCATGTGTACAGTCTTACCAGCTTTGAATCCAATTTGGCATCTAGTCGTGCATTTCGAATTAGATTGACAATCCATCTTTCTGCTTCTTCAGGAGTCATATTTAGTTTATCTGCCAACATACTAAAGATAACAGACTTATCAGATTGTGAAATAAGAGTCCCCCTGATATTGGTAAACACTAGTAGGGACTGTGGAATACAAGTTAAGCTAACACAAAATTTGATACAGCCCTAGACTTGTATTCAATAAATACCACAAATCTGGGATGCACACTGCCATTTGTCTGAAATGACTTTAAAGCTTACATACATGCACTCTTGCCTTATCTCTCACCCCCATTGCTTTACACTGGGACAGCGTGAATAAGGAATTCACATCCTTAAGTATATAATTATTCTGAACTACATCATCCTATAGCTAAAATTTTAACCTGCACTATTTTTCTGCATTCCTATTAAATCGTGCCTATGTGAACATTCTTTGGAAAAATGTCAATTAAGTAATTTAACCACAAGTTAGCAAACACCATTGTAACAAGAACGATTGAACTGATTTTCTTCTTACTTAAATCCAGCCAGCAGTCAAGAGAGTTTAGACCAATTAGTCCAGGAAAGTGTTTATCAATAAACTTCATATTGAAGCTTCAGGAGACAGAACCATGAGACAGAGTTTAGTATAGAAAATGGGACAGATAAAACTGCAAGAAGCTTGAGCATAGTGTAAGGAGGGAAAGTGGAGGAAGACAGAGCAAGGAAAATTCTTATTGAAACAAACACTCTTTTCCAGGAGTAATTCCTTCTGATGGCATTCCCTGTGGCTTTCCAGCCAACTCCTTCAGCTTCTGGATGGCAGTTTGCTCATACACAGGACATTTATAATGCTCATTCTTCCATCAGCTTTCTGACTAAGGTAACAAACATGAGGCAAGGGCTACAGACATGACCAAAAAGCCTTCTGGCTACACTGAGTAATGACACATTCAAGTTTACAAATACACATTAACACCATTAGTACTAAGGAATGGAAGTATGAAAGTTGTACTCTAGATGACCATTGTTCATAAAGACCCCCAGTGTAATGCAACAGAAATTGCCAAATAACGATGCAGTGATTTTATTAATGTTTCAAGAACACTGGTCTCTCATTTGAGGTTAGAGGTGATTTCAAAGGGTACTTTCAAAAACAGTTCCTGAGATTATTTCTGTCCCTATGTCTTAAAAGGGGATTCACTTATTTGGGTCACAATTTAAGTTTTCCTTTGCTTAAAGCACAAGTTTACCAAATTCCACACATCTTTGTATATAAACAAGCCCATCTTGTACTGCACAAAAAATATGTAAAAAAAGAAGAATGAAACATATTAAGGTCTTCAATTAAATCCAGGCATATCAAACTAACCAAAATACATTCTGAATTATTTTCATCTATTACTCCATGTTAAACATGGTATTTCAAACAGTAAACTAACTGCAGGATGATTTGGAATGTGTAAGTTCTACATTACAACTGATAAAGCAACTACATTCTCTGAAAGCATCAGCTGCTTAACACATGTAAGTAGTAAAAAACAAAATTAACT